GGCGTGGCTCTGCTGCACCTCACCCTTGACAGATGTGTTGGGTGTTTTCATCTTACTGATCCATGAAAGCCATGGAGATGGGACTGGGGTTAAATTAGAATTAAGAAGCACAACCTCGCTATAACAACCACAGCGGCGAGAGAACAGACAGTAGTCTGATAGATCTGGGACACATTAGTCAAGTCTTTAAAAGAGTTCCATGAACTTTGAACCAAGAGGGTTTGTATATCAGCACAAAAGGTGTACGACTGCGCCATCTACAACATGCAGAAACATGTTGTAGTTAGCAATAAAACATGGTGGAAGTGAGGCAGGAGGAGAGAGTAGGGTGCTGCCATTAGGAGAGAGCAAGGCACAGGTATGTGAGGTAGAGGTTACTCTGGGAGGCTATACACTTTTCTGAAGAGATGGGTTTGAACGCACTTTTTAAATGATTGTAGACTAGGGGAGAGTCTGATAGCAGTGGGCAGGCTATTCCATAGGAAAGGAGCCATCCACGAGACGTCCAGCAAGCGCGATTTGGCCGTATGGGTGCGAGCACTGGACAGGAGAAGGTCACGGGCAGAGCGGAGTGACCAAAAGGGGCATACCTATCGATCTAGAATTGGTCAGTGCTTTATAGGTATGGGTTAGTACTTTAAACCTACTCCTGTAGGATACAGGAAGCCAATGTAAGGACTGACAGAGGGGTGAGGTGTGAGAGAACCGACTAGAGAGGAAAATCAGTCTGGCGGTAGCATTCATTACAGACTGTTGCGGTGCAGTACGGCTTTTGGGAAGACCAATTAGGAGAGAGTAGCAATAACCCATGCTAGAGGTTACTAGAGCATGGACAAGCTCCTTAGTAGTATCTTGCGTAAGAAAGGGGCGGATGCGGGCTATGTTTTTAAGGTGGAATCTACAGGATTTGGTGACAGACAGGCCAACCCTCGGAGCGAATAGGGAGGGGGGAGTATGACTGTTGCCCTGAGGTGTTGGCATAGCAACCAAATGGATACAGTTGGTATTACAGTTAAAGCATGGAATTCTGGGAAACATTACCAGACTACTGGTGAACAATGCTGAGGGAGCCTGGCAGTGTCTTTCCCCACCCTCCCCAATGGTTCTATTCTGGAATTGTTGCTTTGTGTTGTGTTTTCTTTGTTCTCATTTTGTCACAGCTGCAGGCTTTCTGCGCCAGCAAGTTTGGTAAATGAATGATGCCCGGACGGGCTTGGGGAGTCGCAGCCTGAATTTGGTTAATGACGAAGGACAGGCTGAAGACGCTCGGGAAGAAGTTTAAAGTGTACCTGTCTGCTGGGTAAAACCAGCAGCTGACAGTATTTGGTTATGCTGGTTTAAATAAAGCTGTGGCCCTTACCCACTTAACATGGTGTTGCGTTACTTATTGGGAATGGAAGGGTAACGGGATTTGACGATCGAAGGAGTCAGCAGTCATGGATGTGAGGCTCAAAGATGAGGCCAGAATAGTTGCATTTGCTGTTTTTTTACACCCCGATGCCATTGCATCTTCAGTCGTTTTGAATGTTGGCAGAAAATAGTTAAAAGAAGATCTACTTTTTAGCTCTGTTTCATTAAAGTACATGGATACAAATAAATGCAAAATATACACATAAAATAACGGCTGGGATTAGCCATATTGGTATACAACAAGTACCTCTGTGGAAAAGAAGATATTTCTGAAATTAACAGAGATCCTTAAATAAATGGAAGTGGCCTGGAACATTTAATCTCCGAGAGGCCAAGTACAGGGGGATATTGTGCCTCACTTGGCACACCATAGAACAGCTGTGTGACCTTTTCAGAAGACAATAGAAGGGGATGCCTAACGTCCTTTGTAATACATTAAGTCTATGCCATCGTGAGACTCCCACTGAGCACATCCAAACTTTATTCAACCAACCGCAGTTCTGGGCATTAGAGATCCTCGTTTCACTTTCATTCAAAGATCCCTCATCATCAAATCCTGTAAAGTGTCAGAACAATTACCCGGGCACCATGGGAATCTGCAATCCAGGGAGCAGCCCAGCTGTGTGCCCATGACTATAAGACACCACTGAAAATATGTTGGGTACACTTATGATGTGTGCGCCAGTTTGGCGGCCAGGGTGTATTTCATGCCATGAATATTTGAAGGACAATGGAATGTAGTGGCACTCATCATCGTCCCTGCTCTGTGTTCACGGCGTCTCTGAAAACAAATGGCTTGTGGAGCATTCAGATCCACAGCCAAGTATTACAGTTTGTCAGTTTAGTACAGGGCTTATCCCACCTACAGATCCTCAGCCATAATTTTCTGCTCTATGACATGAGAGTGTGATGGCTCACAACAGCAGTTCTGGAGAGTTAGGGGTTCAGAGAGTCACTATTATTGTATGTACTGAGTCCAGCAGTACTGAGACCCTCTTATTAGTGCATTTTTGCTCATGAAAAATAGGCCTGGCTGTAATCCTCAGCTGAAACACATGCTACAGGTAAAAAGATCCTTGAAGGGTTACGCCAAATAAAAACAGTATTTAAAAAAAAATACTATTTTTGGTCAGAGTAACCTGTGCCCCCAAAATAAAACAAACAAACAAAAGAATACCGCTAAAGGATGCCTCCATTACAGCGCTAGAGCCAAGTTATAATAATTTGCAGCCCGATCTGACATCACCTCCTTGTCAGAGGGGGTGGGATGTAAAGGGGAAGCTAAGGGGTCGAAAGAGGTGGCATTGGGGGGACGTTCTGACATTGGATGTCTGGCACCAGCGTGCTGTTGTATCTGACGTCCAATGCCAACTCTTGTCCCAGGCTGGCTACCTCCAATGGTGTCGCTAGAACTGCGTTAATTTTCATAGTTACAGCATTTCACATTTTACATACAGATTCCAGGCACCATAAGCCCTTAATTTCACTGAAGTAATCATCGTGCTTGGGGTAACACTTTAACAATCAGATGACTAACAAGGATGGTGGAGTGTTAGGGCATTTTGTTAACATGGGAGCCAGTTTAGGTCTCTGTGTTTTTGGAAATGCCCTATTCTCATTCCAGCCACCTGACTGGAAGCTGAATAATAATTTGCACCTTTTTTGTTTTAAACAGTTTCCATTGGAAGAAGGTGATTCAAGTATTTTGGTGGATATTACTGGATTGAATAAATGTTGTTTTCCTTATTTTGCTTGTTTTAAAAAGTTAGAGCAGACTTCAAACCACCCAGATCATTATACGCGATAAAGAGTTGGGTTGGAACGTCACTTTATTTTGGGGACCCAGTGGAAGGTTTATCTATACAGAAAGTGACCAGAGGTGGGGGCATCTGGATTTTCTTGAAGGATGTTGTTAGATATTTAAGACAGGGGCACTGTCCTCCCCCTAACCTAACTCAATGCTTTCCTATGGACGTTCAGTGTGCTCCTCTAGCGGCTGTCAGTGAGACAGCCACTAGAGGCTGGATTAACCCTCAGTGAAACATAGCAGTTTCTCAGAAACTGCTATGTTTTCAACTACAGGGTTAAAACTAGAGGGACCTGACACCCAGACAACTTCATTGAGTTGATGTGATCTGGGTGTCTGTAGTGGTCCTTTAAGTGTGTGTGCATCTGCATGCACTGGCGTACATACCGCGGTCGCAGCCCTGTAACCCCTGCGACCAGGTGCCCACCGCCATGTGTTGCGGCCCGGCCCGTGCGCGGGGGGGGCCCACGGATAAATTTTCGCACCGGGGCCCCATGGGTCATGTGTACGCCACTGTATGTGACAGTACAAACAGGGGGCTATGATATCACACTCCCCCCACACCCCATTTCATTGCACTAATGGAGAGAAGAGATATGAGCATTGTGATGTTTTTTTCTTTTGTCTGTTTTTAAAAAATCTTTTTTTGTTTTTAAGAAAGGACACATTTTTAATAAATTTGTGTGTTTATTTCAGTGTTGTGCTGTGCATCTCTGCTGCAGCACTGAAAATTTTAGTATAACCAGGTGTATTTCAGATGAATTGGTACTGGGCCACAAATGAATTCACTGGGATTTTACATACACCATCCAGTCCCATTGAAATTCTACTGGGAGACTTCGAAATTGGAAGCTCAGCGAGCCAGAGCTTTAGGCACTGTCTGCATATCTTTCACATACTGACTGTATCTTAGTTCCCTCTTTACTTTGTCTTGGCACAAATTCTTCAAATTGGCCAAGTTTTCTCTCCGTCTTACAGAGTCATCACAAATCCCAGATTATTTCACAGCTTGATCAAATCAACCTTCATCCTATTGAGGCGGATAGAATGAGCACCATTGATTTGGGTAATAATAAATCTGTACTCCAAATAATTAAAGGAACACTCCAAGCATCATACCCATTGTAGCTTGAAGTGTTTATGGTGCTCTGGTGTGTCTGGCGTTGGAGCTTTTAAAAAGCAGGAACTTCTGTAACCTATTAGGACTGTTTCATTGGCTGGGAGCATTAGCTGATCGCTGTCAGCCAATGAGCTAAGCCCTGCACTGCAAGGCTTAGCTCTGTAAAGCTAGCGTAAATTCCTGCTGAGGAGCTCCCAACTCTCTGGCGCGTTAGTGGAGACAAGCAACCCCCAGGTAAGAAGTCAAACCATTCAAAAATGATATGATTATTTACCACTAGTGGGGGTGTTGCAATGCCGCTTGGAGTGTTTGTTTAATCTTTCTGATAAAAAATGAATCCATATATACTTTTTAGTATATCTCACGGTAACCATTGTGATCTTTAAAGTTCCATCCTGTTCATGATTCTGGAACACGTGGAGCTTTCAATGAGCTCAGTTGAAAAGTGCCAAAGAATGTAAAACCAATCTAGATAAACTCCCTATTGTTAATAGAAGACCCTGCCAAAAACAAAGTATCACCATCTAAAATAAACGGGAATGAAAACATTCTAGTTATATCCTGCGTGCCCACAAAGCCATGTAACATTAGATTTTGTGCCCTCACTCCAGTTCCCCGCTCCCCCCTCCTTTCCCAGGGACCTGGGCTCATATACAGAGGGTGAATAGCCCAGGCACCCAAGTGCTGGCTTGCAGCAGTGTTTCCATCAGCCCTGCCTTCTTAAAACTGCTTTTCCCCATCTGACACTGTCTAATGTTTCCCCTCCTACTCAAGCCTCCTCCTCCCCTGGCCCATTCTATCCCAGTTAGTTGGCAGAGAGAATTGCAAGACATCATCTGTAAGGCAAAGACACAGACTGCGAAAGTGGGAGAGAAGGACTGGAATAAAAAAAAAAACCCTGCTTCTGTAAGTACGATCTGTTTATTTTTCTGCTTTTCCTGTTGCTGTTTGTGATTCGTCAAAATAATTATTTTAAGCATCCCAATGCCACTCAGTGGATTGCGTACTACTCCAAAATGTATTGGGTTAATACTGTCATAGTCACTGATTAGAAATCTTTAGTGAGAGATAACAAAACAAGAGAACTTGCCCAGCGTGCAAGGGGTATATATATAGAACTCTGAGGAAATATCGAATTAGAAAATCTTAACTGAAGTCTGTGCATTAAATTGGAAGAATAAAAAAGAGAGAAAAACAGCGAAAATTCTTTAAGTCTCATCACGAAAGATCGATTTTGAGACAGAAGAGATAAGAGGTATGCTTTGCGAAAATTTGGACTTTTAACATAGGAATGTATTCACTAAATACTGAGCTGTAATCAATTGAAATCCGAATGATGAAATTAAGTAAAGGAGTCTTGGTTTGGAAGTAATCTTCAGCTCGGGTCTAGTCACCGCTTGGCTATTTCACCCAAAAGTAGAGAAATCCAATGAGGTGTTTTTTTAATAAACCTCAAAGTTTTTGTTTTGGGTTGTTTATTTTTTTTACAGTAATTTATGGATAATATATTGTCTGTTTTATCACAATTAATTCCAGAACCACAAAATTTATCCCATTAAAACATGTGTTGTAAAATGAAGTCACCGCAAGTGTTGCACATCTGTGAATATGGAGGACGTTGTTGGGGTTAAGCGGTTTAAAAATGTGTTATTATTAAACTATTTTTATTCCGTTTTTTTTTTAAATTTCATTCCTTGCCTTTTTAAATTTTTTTATTTAAAATTAATAAAATAAATAAATAAATAACAAAAAACATTTCCGTAGCGGTTCTGCTCCTCTGTGTAACACTTTTTTTAAAAAGCTAAATATAGATTTGTAGAGCAATTTAGATATGGTCAGAATTTCTTTTTAATCGCAAAAAAGATTGATCCATTCATATGCTGCTTCCGGGTCAGATTAATTCTTGCTTATAGTCATGTGACAAAAAGTTTTGGGGAAGTTTATGAATTATTTATAGGGCGGTCACACTACTGATGAAGAGTGAACGAGAGATTGTTTAATATTCTGAGCTGAGCATACTGGGTAATGGAAGGGGGCGAGCAAACACAGTTATAACTGCTTGGATGCCTATTGGCTATAAAAGAATGTGTTTGCAAACAGCTCGGGGCTACCTACTCACTGTCCACTTGCTACAGCGCTGAGTTAACATGTAAACTGTGCTCACAATATATCTAATCCGCACTGTAGTAACTTAGAAATTATCTTTTGACTTCACCCCGATTATAAGTATAATGGGACAATGGAAAGGACAAGAATATTAAATGGAATTCATTGAATGTCGGATATTTTGGATATACTAGGGCAGTTGTAGTGACGGTTGCTGAATATTAAAGATGGTGGGTCATTCCCCCCCGACATGTTGGGCCGTACCCAGTTAACCCAATGAGGTGCTGTGCCCTGTTCAAAACCAGCTATATCTCCAGTCATCGATAAAAGAGCGAAAGGAGAATGCAGATATTATCACGAAAGACACGTGTTCTCTAACACAGACTTGTCAGTAGTCCTTACAATGCCAATACACTTATTTATTTTTGGAACAAAAACTGTGTGAGGGGGTGGATTGGGGGAAGATGTCCAGCCTGCATTGGGCGGCTGGCTGGATTGTGGTAGAAAAACCCCACACAAAAAAATGTAATAAGAAAAAAAATCATACAAAATTAAGTTTTTAAGTATCTGTCCGTGATTTCCAGGTCATTGTATAGCATTTGTAAAATAACGGTTGTGTATAGTTTGTGCTTTATATATATACATTTCGATATGGTCACCATTGATAACACTGCAACTTTATGTACTATCCCTTTAGTAATATGATTTACACAGCTTATTCTAGCAGATATAGAAGATATATATATTTTCCTAGAAGTAGGGCATTAATATATATTATAAGTCCTTTATAGCTGCTAGTAACTACGCACCCAACAGAGTAATTCCAGGGATGGTGTGGGAAATCAAGGGCGTTCAGAACTCCCTGCACATTTCCACGACTTTGCATTAATATAGACTATCTTGGAAAACAAATAAGCAAGTGTGGATATCTCAGGGGCCTCCATCTGACCATAATGTAAAGATAGTCTCTTGGAATGCAGTGCTGATAGACACACTGAGACTTGATCCCCAGTTGTAATTCCACGGCTGTTGTGGTTACTCTAGTCACTTCCTAGTAGACCTGAGAAAGTCATGACGTTGGATTGAGCATATAGGGGACCAACAAGGTGGACCAGGTCCCTAAGTATTTTGGTTACAAACCTTAATTCCAGAGGGACAAAATAGTGAAGAGTTAATGATATTCTGGCACAAGGGGCCTTGCATTACTCCTGATTGACCAAGAAGCACATTGCAGGAGCTCCTCAGATATTTTCTGTAATTAAATAAAATGTGATATCACAATTTCTTTGAGAGTGACAACCTATTTTCCCATCTGGAGCATAACCTGCTGCAATACTGGACCAGGTTGCTTGAGCTGAATTGGATGTTTCAGACAAATTATTTCTGGAGGCCTACCGATCTAATTGAGGATCTAATTGAGGCGGGAAAAGTGGTTGATTTTCTGTCTTTGGTTTGATCTTTACTCTGCTGAGCTCTGTTTTCCCCGGTCGTCCCCCCTTTGGATCGGTGGGGTTGATTCCGGTCTCCACTGGAGAGGATCAGTTTCATTTATATGAGACGCTCTGAGAATCAATACGTGATTGAACCAGAAGCCACCTTTCCAAAATGGCTGCTGTAGCCAAGCCGACCTGCCAGCGGTTCTCTGCATTGCAACACTCACAAATGGGAACACTCCTAAAAGCTTTTGACAAGATATGCACTTGATTTTGGGTAAGACTGGACCTGTGGGCTCTCCATAATGGCTTCATCAGACCCAGACCATAAGCTCCAAGCAATTTCACAAATTCACAGCATCCAGGGCTTTCTTTCCTCGCTGCCACTTACCTGGACCCTGGGCCTTGTGGAGAAGGTACCATGTGCATGGGTCACACTCCTAGAGGGTTTCTGGTGGCCAACAGTACAGATGAACTACAGGCTACTCCCGGAACTCTGATTTGGGTGCCAAGGGTTTCCAGACCAGTGACCAACCAATGCAGGCTCATGTTCAGGTCTGGGGGCAGGTGGCAGGATTTATTCCTCCTAAATTTGTTTTGTCCGGATCCCTGGGACTCACCCTGCTAGTGTCCTTCCCATTCCTCACATAGGCTGATTACATAACATCATGTTTTGCTGTGACCATATTTGTATGCATGTTTTATTTTCTTATCAATTTTATTTTGAGAGTCATAACCGTGTTGTTCCTGCTTAATTTGACAAGCCTTGTCTCCCTGTGCATTTGTCGGCCTTTTTACATGCACATGCTTATGATTACCCAATATCATCCAGTGGTCCATTTCGTATACTGACATGTCTATTCTATATGCCGTCCTTATGCCCACATTTATTTGCGACATATGCAGCATTGTTTAAGCTTGACTAGATTCACATATTGCTCACATAGTACTCCAGTGATCCAGCTCTAAGCTGTTTATACATTTAATTTAAGTTTAGTGCAACCTATTATATTCTGTGAATTATAACAGAGAAATGAACTGTGTCTATCTCCTCGTATTATTGCATCAAAAAAGTAAAATAAAAAGGATATTCTGGCACCCAGCGCAATCTGCTTTGCTTTGTTTAAGGTTAATCCAAGTGTATTAAAAAGAAAGAAACAGAAAAAGAAAAGAATATGTCAAGATTGCTATAGATGAATATGGGGGGTAACCCCTATTGAAACAATAAATAGTAGAGAAAAAGTACAGGTGAAGCTGTGGAAAACATAGAATTTATGCCCACAGTCCACTAGTACATAAATAGCAATCCATAGTAGATAAAAATTAACTTTTAATAGATGATTTAAATAAAATGGTAACACTGTCACAAGGTATCTGGCTAGCACAATCGCTGCATCCAAAACTGAATAGATAAAGCGATGGGTTCAGTGCGGCAGAGGGTGTGGGAGACAGACAGGGACGACCTTACAACGATTCACTAGATTCCAACAGCCACCCCTCTGCTTCATTCATTTATTTTATTTTAGACGCTGAATTAGATTAGATTTGTCTTTTCTACCGTATGTCAGCCTGAGTTAGATAGCGATTATTTAAAGAGAGACAGAAATTGATTTTGAGTAAGATTGGGAGACGGGAGTGGCGATACTATACAGGGACATTGGGCTTAATTGCTGATTAACCCTGTCCTTCCTTTCTTATCTGAACTATAAGTAATTAATCACTATTATATGTTATTTATTTTTCTTTCTCTCTCTTTCATCGCTTTATCTATTCAGTTTTGGATGCAGCGATTGTGCTAGCCAGATACCTTGTGACAGTGTTACCATTTTATTTAAATCATCTATTAAAAGTTAATTTTTATCTACTATGGATTGCTATTTATGTACTAGTGGACTGTGGGCATAAATTCTATGTTTTCCACAGCTTCACCTGTACTTTTTCTCTACTATTTAAGGTTAATCCAAGATTTCACTCACCTGTGTTAAAGCAGTTGTGTCTGCATTCTTGCGCTGTTATAGGCCTCGAGGATGAAAATATACAATTATGATTATATGCTTTGTGGATTGGAATTTAAACATTGTTACTAGTGGATACATTTAAAAGAAAATGTTTTTAACATGTGGTGCTGTAGTAATTTAATCTGAGTTTATAAAGGCGTGAATCATTTCTTCACTAGGAGCACACATTTATATATAGTGGAATATTGTGGATCTTAAACATCAGTTTATTCATTTTCCATACTGACGTTTCCAGCGATGCATTTACAGTTTTTTGTTCTCATTCGGAATTTTGTGAATCGATCAACCCTTGGGTTAGAGTTTAAACTGCCTGCAAAGGAATGATAGAATAATAATTGTGAAAAAATTTCTCTTCCCACATTCTCAACAGTTGGTTTACTCCAGAGTAAATATGTATCTCTCTCGATCATTTCCAGCTAAAGTTCATGAGCAGATAAAGGAAGTGTCATATCATCCAAGTGATTTAGGGACTAGCACCCAAAAACGCAAGGCTCCCATTTCCTGACCAAAAACGACTTCCTTCCTGTATTGCCACCGCCTTCTGACTGCGAAAGAGGGCATGTTAGTGTTAGACCTGGCCCTTTGGACCAAGAGTATGTCCTAGATAGAACGGTGGAAGTAAGTTACTCACTAACCCAGAAACAGTGCATCAATGACCACGTTACAAAGTTCATCCTAGATATATCTTCTCCTTTCCACTAAGCTGCCATAATTGTGATGTGTGCCAATGAAAGAGAGTATTAGATTACCGGAAAGTTAAGTTATAAGAATCATTTAAAGGATCACTATAGGGTCAGGAACACAAACATGTATTCCTGGCCCTATAGTGTTAAAACCACCATCTAGCCCCCCTGGGCCCCTCATGCCTCCATAAATATAGCAAAATCTTAATGTATTCAAGCCAAAAGGTGTGGATCTGCATGCTGTTTGCCTAAAAAAAAAAAACAAGCAGTCTGCTGACATTATCAGAAGTGGTAGTCTGATCCAATCACAGTGCTTCCCCATAGGATTGACTGAGACTGACAAGGAGGCAGATCAGGGGCAGAGCCAGCACGATTCAAACACAGCCCTGGCCAATCAGCATCTCCTCATAGAGATGAACTGAATCAATGTATCGCTATGAGGAAAGTTCAGTGTCTGCATGCAGAGGGAAGAGACACTGAATGTTTGGATGCATTTTAGGCAGCCATGACCCAGGAAGGATCTCTAACAGCCACCTGAGGAGTGGCCAGTGAAGTTATCACTAGGCTGTAATGTAAGCACTGCATTTTCTCTGAAAAGACAGTGTTTACAGCAAAATTGGGCAGCACCCCTTCAAAATGGCTGTGTAATTGGAGTTTAAAAAAGGCTGGGCCAATTGGATTGGATGAAACTAAAAGTCAAATTTTTTTCCTGCCCACAGATCCTTTTTCTGTCCTGACAATCAGCTACCTCTAGAATAATATAGGCAAGATCTAGGGTATATCAATTTCTTTCATTGCTGGGGGTTCGGTGATGTTTTACCTTTGGGACCACATAAATTGCCTACTATATACCGGACAATAGAGCAGGGTCCCATAATTCTTTGAATGAAATAGCCAGAGAATCATGGGAGTTATAGTTCAGCAACATCTGGAGGGCCAGATTTTGGAGAACTCTGCACTAGAGGAAAGGCAGCCTCCGGAATCCATTGGTCTCACCATCCTTCCCAGAATTCCAAAACAAGCAGCTGTTGGCAGGAAAGCCCGCCATTCCGAAATTCTGTTAAAAAAAAAGGTTTTACAAGATACTAATTGCGACCTCAATTTAAAATTGTTGGATAAGCTTTCTAAATAATTGAATCATTTTGGATAAACTTTAAAAATATTTTTTTTCAACATATGAAACCATCAGAAAGTATATAACATGTAATAAAATAATCAATATATCAAAACATTACAATATGTGTCATAATATGCAGTCATTTTAAAAAGTTTATCCAAAATATTAAATCATTTGGAAAGCTTATCCAATAATATTAAATTGACGCCTTCTCTGTTATTTTAGATCTGCATCACTGGACTAATACGACTAAAATGTAAACTCCGATACAACGTGAGCCAGTGATCTGTAAAATGCAGAGTTTGAGCTAACTGCAGGCGATATGAGCACAGCTGCAAGTTCTGGGAACGGGACAGAGTCGTTTGGTTGATGGATGAAGTGCTTTGGGGAGACACTTGGAAAAAAATATCAAAGTGGAAAAAAGTGTGCATGGGAGGAGGGAATAGGGAAAAAAATGTCATTCTGGCTTCAGGAATATATGTGTAGGAAAGGAACCAGAATGAGCATACTAAGACCTCTGCTACAAATGATGCCAGTGGTGCAAGAACAGATCTATACAAAGCTGGAGCAACCGTCAGTCCCCTGCTGATGTTGGTGCAAAACATTCAGGGCAGGTATTTATGGAGCACCAACGTAGGCAGCAGCGCTGTGCAATCAGTTCTTTAACGCTAAGCAGTGTTTCTTGTCAGATGCAGAGCAAACCAGTAACAAGAGGAATCCTTATTAAAGTCTTTATTTAGAAAAAAGTGTTAAAGTATACATATGCACATAGGAATAAAGTACACATTTTACAGTTTTTCTTGGGAAAAAAATAGTACACTGAAACATAACTTTCCACCTTACTCATCTACATTTGCCCTTTTACATATATTAATGATTAATATTTTAACATTGGTCTCAGGAGGACCTGCCTTGTTTCAGTTGTTCTCTGTTGCTCCATGACCTTATGTCATTGGTTGACACTGGTTTGAGACTGGGATACATTGCTAGATAACGTGTGTGAATCCATTGAATGTTCTGGATTTGGAGGATGTTGATGTATATTTGTTTCAGTATTTGCAGTAAGGCAGTTTGGGGGAACTCAGCAAACAGTATGCAGGAACCCAGCAGGCAGTGTGGATGAACTCGGCAGACAGTATGCAGGAACGCACCAGACAGTATGCAGGAACTCACCAGACAGTATGGAGGAACTCGGCAAGTAGTATGGGGAAACTTGGCAAAACAGCATGGAGGAACTCAGCCGGCAGTGTGGAGGAACTTGGCAGACAGTATGGAAGAACTCAGCAGGCATTATGGAGAAGCTCAGTGGACATTATGCAGTAACTCAGCAGACAGCATGGAGGAACCCAACAAATTGTGTGGAAGAACTGAGCAGATCGTGTGGTGGAACTCAGCAGACAGTATGGAGGAACTCTGCAAGCAGGATGCAGGAACTTGTCGACCACAGTAACATGATGCACTGGAACACAGGACATATGATGCATCTATAATATCTGAAATACGGCTTAATGGTAACTGCAGGCAAACTGTAACAAACAGAACCCAGAGTGTAAACCAAACTGTGTGTATGTTCCAAGTCTCAATATAGCAATAACAAGATTATCCAAGGCCTCAATAAAACTAGGACTGGTCCAGTTGATGACAATCAGCATATTCTCACAGCCATATTTTTTAATTAATATCAGAGTTTCTTTATGAGTCTAAAGTTGCCTCTTGGTTGGATCCTTATACAATGATACCTTGGTTTACAAACTTAATGCGTTCCCCACGACGTTTCATATTGCGAAAAATTTGTAAACTAAACTTGGTTTCCAAAAGGAATCTATTGAAAACCAATTAATCCGTTCCGGAGGTCAGAAAAAAAGACTGGCATGGAAACCAATCCACAATGCAGAACACACAGTAAAAGGCATGCAAATGACGAAGCTCAGCCCCCAACTTTCCACCTCTTGAGAAATGCACCAAAAAAGTCAAAAAATTGTTCAACAAATTTCCAGAATACCGCCAAACCTCGATGCAAAAACCACTCCAACACCTCCACTCTTGATGCCACGTGCTATCCACAGACTATAAACCTCCAGGCGCAATGCATCCTGGGGAAACTTGCTTCGTATTGTGGAAAAATATTGTAAACCGAGGCATTATTTTCAATGCAATTTCATTTTTAAACCGAAAATTATGTTAACCAAGGCGTTTGTAAACCAAGGTACCACTGTACTTTATTAAAGGAACACTATAGGGTTAAAACCATGATCTGGCCCCCTCTCTTCCCCCTAAATATATCAAAATCTTACCTTTAATCCAGTCTGCTGCTACTGGCTCTGCCCTTGATCTGCCTATTTGGCTGACATCATCAGAAGTGTTGATCTGAGCAAATCACAATGCTTTCACATAGGAAAGCATAGGATTGGCTGAGACTGTCAAGGAGGCAAATCAGGGGCAGAGCCAACACAAGCCAAACAGCATCTCCTCATAGAAATACATTTAATCAATGCCACTCTATGAGTAAAAGTTCAGTGTCTGCATGCAGAGGGTGGAGACACTGAATGGCAGTCACACTGTGAAGCACTGCCCCAGGAAGCACCTCTAGCAGCCATCTAAAGGAGTGGCCAGTGGAGGTATCCCTAAGCGGTAAGGTAAACACTGCATTTCTCTGAAAATACAGTGTTTACTGCAAAAGGCCTGAAGGGAATGATTCTACTCACCAGAACAAATACAATAAGCTGTAGTTGTTCTGTAAGAGTTTCCATTTAGCATAGTGGCAACAAATATCGAAATATTAAAATGTAGAGGAAATAATTTAACGCTGCTGAAGTATTTACCAAGAGGAGGATATAGGCAAAAAAGAATAATTGCATGGTATAACTGTGATGGTGTTGTTTTTACTCCATCAGAAGGCAGTTTCGTGTGAATACTGTCCCAATATATAGTGCAGCGCTTACTGCACATTCTTATATGGGTTATTAATCCAAAACTGTTTTATCTGGAAGGCAAATGGTTGTTTTGTACATGAGTGCAGAGATCTCACTTTGAGTGCAGAGGAAAGGTATTGATATAGAACCTTTCTGATGGAATAAAAACCTGGCCTGCAGATGGTGCTGTTCTATATCTCCCCACCTGGAACTATTAATGAGAACACATGCATGCAGCTCCCCTATAGTGATTATGTATTTTCTTATCTTTTTTTACCTATTTGTGCGTTCCTGATGATTAAGCGATCCTGGTGCTGCAAAATATATCCAGCTGGGTATGTAGGATCCTGCGGTTGAACTTTGTCTTTTTTTTTACTTTGATTTAATTTAATTTATACTATGCAATATGTATCAAAAGGACAATGTGGCACGCAGAGCCAGTTTCAATGTATCGACACCAAAGGGTTTAATTAATCTCAATTGGGACCTGCTAACTTGCACAAATATATTGTCTGGGCATCGAGGTGGTGAAACATGAAGTTACAGCATTCAGAGGTACCTTGAACTATAACCACTACAGTAAGTTTTGATGGCTGTTCTACTTTGAGTGTCTTGTGTTAAAAGGAACACTCCAAGCACCATAACCATTAGAGATCACTGTAGTTGTTATGGTGCCAGGACTGCCCTGGTGCCCCCTCCCCCATTTAAAACTGACTTTTTACGTGAGTCTGCTGGGTGCCGCTCCCTGCCTCCACTAGTTCAGCTCATTGTCTATGAGCGATCAGTGGTTGCAGTGGTTATGGTGTTTAGAGTGCTTCTTTAAGTATATATCTTAATAGAAGCTATACTTTATTCTCCTGTGGCTCTATTTGGTTTTATTTTATTATGATGTAGATATTTATTTCTGGCAAACAGCACCAATGTTTGGGAGAATGAAGCTTGTAAAGCAGTTTACCAATATGGGGTTCATTGGTCTCTTTTTATATACTACCAGTTATGGTCTATTATTAGTTTTTTACATTGCTGCAGATTGCCTAGATAATCCACAGATTCTGCCTTAAAGAGACACTCCACTGCCCAAATAAATTAATCACTCCTAATGAAGCGGCCCACTGATGATAAGCACGCCCCATCTCAAAGTGAGCATGTTGGTTCAATGCCCTTCCAGGGCAGACCATGCACAGAGCTCTACTGAAGAGCTCTAGCATAAGAAAAAAGGCCCTGTATTTGTTCGGCACAGTGCAAGTAACTTTAATAACATGCTTAACATGTGTTTGCTTGAAACTTGTATCTGGTGTCTCTATAAATGGGTTACCAGGAGACAAAACGACCAGGAAAGAGTATTGTGCATGTGTTTGGAGCCTGCTTGTGGGATTGCATGAGTGAGCTGATTGTGGTGTGGTTTTGTATTAATAGGTTGGTTTCGGTGTTGTGTTTGTGGTGTAATGTATGTGTGTTTAGGTGCTGTAGAGAGTGTGTTTGTAGGTGGCATAGTCTGTGTAGGGGATGTAGTGAGTGTGTGCATACTGGCTGTAGTGTGTGTTTGTATATGTGATGTAGTGTGTGTAGGGGTTGTAGAGAGTGTATGTAGGGGTTGTAGAGAGTGTGTGTTTAGGTAATGTGTTTGCTTACAAGGAATCTAGTGTGTGCGTAGGGTATCCAGAGTGTGTATGTCAGAAATGTAGTATGTGTGTAGGTAGTGCAGCGTGTGTGTGTACGGGGTCTAGTATGTGTTTTAAGGACCCAGATTGTGTATAGCAGATCTAGTGTGTGTATATGTGTAGGTGATCCAGAGTTGGGTAAGGGATCTAGTGTGTGTCTGCAATCTAATGTGTTTAGGGGTGCAGTATGTGTTTGAGGAGTTCTGTAGTATATATACATATATGGTTGGAAGTATTGTGTGTGTGTGTGTGTGTGTGTGAGAGTGGTGCAGTGTGTTTGGGGGGTGTAGTGTGTATGTGTGAGGAGTATAGTGTGTGTGTGAGGGATGCAGTGTGTGTGTGTGTGTGTGGATGGTGTATGTGTGTGAGGATGTTGTGTATGCTGTGTGTGTGCAGTATATGTGTGTGAGGTGTATAGTGTGTGTTTGAGGGTGCTTTGTGTGAGCTGTGCAGTGTGTGAGTGAGGGTGTTGTGTTTGTGTGTGTGTGTGAGGATGCTGTGAGTGTTAGGGTGCTGTGTGAGGGTGATGTGTTTGTGTGTGAGGGTTCTGTGTGAGTGTGATGTATGTGTGTGTGATGTGTGTGTGTGAGGGTGCTGTGTGTGAGGTGTGCAGTATGTGTTAGGGTGGTGTGTGAGTGAGAGTGCTGTGTGAGGGTGATGTGTGTGTGTGTGTGCCAAGGTGCTGTGTGTCTGGGTGCTGTGTGAGGGTGATGTGTGTGTGTGTGTTATAGGGTGCTGTGTGTGTGTGTTTTAGAGTGCTGTGTGTGTTAGGGTGCTGTGTGTGTTAGGGTGCTGTGTGTTTAAGGGTGCTATGTGTTAGGGTGCTGTGTGAGAGTGCTGTGTGTTCTATGAATGAAATAGATATGCTGAGAATCATGGGAGTTGTAGTTCAGCAACATCTAGAGGGCCGGAGTTTGGGGAAGCCTGGTTTAGAGGGATTGTGTATTGGGGAGGCAGGTTAATGCCAATATATATGTGTTTTTGTTTTTTTAAAGTATTGTATCCCCTCTCCCTTCTTTAGCTTGGGAGGACTGTGCTGCCATCCCTGGTGGTGCTAGTGGTGAGTGAACTCTATCCTCTAGCTCCGGATCTCGCGAGAGGAACCCGGCGGAGTTGCAAGATAGGTCCTCCCTGTCTCCCTCCCTCCCCAGCCGATGGCCGCAATACGCAAAATGTGGACCGATGAGGGAGATCTTTGATCTCCCCACCCGCCCGATATGGAACACAGCGTGGCCGGTGCTCGGTTAGTGTCGGCCCTGCATGGACCAGCAGGGGAGTCCATGTGATCTCGGCCCATGGCCATCGCGGCCCACCTGGCATTTGCCCGGTGTGCTCGATGGCCAGTCCGGACCTGCAGGCGTACATTTCCACTGATTTATCTCACCATTTCCCACGTGGAACTTTGCAATCTCTTATTATCCGGCCTTTTTAATCAGCAACATTTCTTTGTCATTTATTTGGATTTCCACAGTTTATAATTTTTTTTTTGTTTGCTTTAATTCCTTAACTTGTTCTACTGGTTCCCAATCAAGTCTTGATTATGTTAATTCCATGAAACCTCTACTGAAATCTGCTTGTAATTATCTTGTGATGGTACTAGGGGAGAGCGTTACTGCCTGTCCTTATGATTCCATTAGAACGTAATAAAACGACAAACAATCCAAGCAAATAAAGCCTGGCTATTTATAGCACTTTTAATTAAAGGACAAATAAAACTCTTCTTCGTTCCTCTATAGACCTTTAAAAAGCACCTTGACTGAAAATAAATATTTATAAAGTTTATTTATATTTAGGGCACATATTATATCAGTTAAAAAAGAACCGCCTCAATTTTGAAATTTCAGAAAGGCAAGCGGCTAATTTGCTAAACAGAGAAT